AAGTTGAATAGTACAGTCAATTTGTCAAATAATAAAACATGAGACCCTACCCACCCTCTTCTGGAAAAAGCAGGCCTTCAGTGTCATGTCACCTCCTCATTATGCAGAGGTAGACATGGCAGGAATTAAAAGCCACACCTCAGCTGTAATTAAATACCTCTCTTTCACTTGTGTCATAAACCTTAAGATTCAAGTAATTTACATTTTCCTAACGCTCATCCATGTAACCTCAAGATCTTACCAAGTTTGGGAGGGAAGGGCAAGACAGCAACTTGTTAAAAGCGCCCGGGCAGTTGGGCAAGAAGTAATTAAATTCCAGCGAGCTTGTTTGTACAGCGAGACACGCTGCTGCCCCCGGCTACAGCTCGTACCGTGTGCTGAGCGAGTCGGACACCGCCAGGCCCCAGCCACGCGGAGCCCGTCGCCCTCTCGGCGCGGACGCCCGCCCAGTGACAGCCCGGGCAGCAGCTGCAGCACTCTGCTACCAAGCTGCGTTTTATTAACACGCGATGACTTCAGCACCCCGCCACGGCCCTGCCGGACAGACCTTGGCAGCCTGTCACAGCTCCCTTCCATACTGCAGAAAATTTAGAATAGCCTCAAAAGTGAGGAAAGCTTCAGAAACCCCCTTGGTATCGCGACCGAAACGAACGTGGCCCTCGGCTTCTGGACGCTGCTCCAAGAGGGCTCCCGCGGACAGCGCGCTCTCAGGCTTAAATTCACACTGGACATCAGTCCTTCGTAGCCGGCGCTGCACCTTCCCCTTCCCCCAGGGCCGGGCCGCTGGTGTAATGCAGGGGGCTCCGAGTCCAGCCCAGTGCCCGTGACAGCGCGCCCGAGAGACCGCGTACATCCAAAGTCGGTAACAAAAAGCCCCGCGCGCCTTCCCCTTCCCCCAGGGCCGGGCCGCTGGTGTAATGCAGGGGGCTCCGAGTCCAGCCCAGTGCCCGTGACAGCGCGCCCGAGAGGTGGAGGGGAGGGGGGGGGGCAGGCTCACCTGTTGATGAAGCC